TCAAAAAGCGAAAACGCAAGGTAAAGCGAAGTAAATGGTTCTTGAAGCGGTCTTTCTGTTTGCCACGTTTCGCTAGGGAGTGGGGTAAATAGAGGCACAGGTTTCTTTCTATTGCTTCGTTCTTCTTGCGTCTAATTCGTCTTGTTGCCTCTCATATTCCTTCAATGGTATTCGTCGAACTCATGCTGCAGAAGCCTTTTCCTCTCTTCTCGTCTTGCAGTATTCGTCTTCCGGTTTCTGTTGTTTTATGTTCTTCATCTTCTTTTGTCTTAATATTTTTCATGTTTTTTTTCCAGCTTTTTTTGTTTTATGGCACGTGGCCTAAGGTGCGTGGAATTGTAGGTTCTTCATTTTGTCTTCATATTTGGAGTAGATGGGTTTGTCCATTACTATTTCATTTGACGTTGTCATTGGTTTGACGCGTTGCTTATATGTGTTTACATTTAGCATTGTGCGTGATGTACTTGATGAGGGGATCAGACTCTCAAGATTTTTTGATGGGGATCGTGCCCCTTGTTAGACCTCATGGGTCGTAAATATGTTAGGACTGTGGCCACGTTTTAAATGTAGAACCCAATAAAGACAGATAGAGAAGTTTATAAAATCAAGCTGGCCAGGCTATATAGATCATTATAAAATCTCTAAGTGTTCACTACAACAAAAAGTCTCTTTCAGGACACGAATAAATGTCCTAATATGATGCATATTGAGACATTTACATTTATTAGGGCACTTATTGTAAGTGTCGCATGTATCAGTGTCCTATAAAGTTTTGGGACATTTAAAGTGTCCCTATACTAAATTTTATTGGGGCACTTTTAAATGTCCATTTTATATGTTAAAAGGACACATATAAACATCTCATTATCGAAATACATATACGTTAATAAAGTTTTATGAGACACTTATTTTTGTCTTTAAACTTATATTAGGACATTTACAAATATATAGAAAAATATAAATATCCCATAAAATGTCTGAAACACTATAATGCTAATTTCAAATGTCTTCCAACGAAATATAAAA